AACTGAGTTTGCAGGATCAGCATGGAGTAGCTACTTCAGACAAAGTATTCTGTAGGGGTGCTATTTTACTGCTTTCTCTTTGGACCCCTTCATAGAAAGAGGGAGCCATGCAATCAAGGTACAATAGGGCTGTGCTGTTGGCCCTGACATCCATGCCATGGATTTCCCTCTGCAGATGTCCATGCCTAACATGTGGGTGTTAGGGGTGTGGCCAGGAGATGTGGCAAAACCCCGAGGATTGAACCACTAGTGCAACTCAGCAATAGGGCGCACCACTTTGCCGACAGAAACCCCCTCGCCCCCTAACTTCATCTGGGGAGAAGGACATCTGATAGAGCCCTTTACTAGCTCTGCTACCTGCTTAAGACCTTGCAGAACTGCTTGCAGTCTCAGTCAAGTGTACTTGGGCTAGATGATGTAGATTGGTACCCTGTTCCAAAACATATGCCAAGATCCAACTGGAAATATGAAGTGCTCCACATGCATACCCGAGAGCCTTTTAGGAGCCCATTACACTGCTGCTGCTGACAACCACCACCACCCCTGGATAAAATCCTGAACGTTGGGGAAACCTCCAAGGCTGCATTTGGAATTCAATATAGTTCAGAGAGCTTGCAGCCAGATGGGGAAACTGGGTAAGGGATTCTGCTTTGTCAGGATCTCTTCGGATCACAGGCACACTTGGTTGTTAGTTCCATTATTTTGGAGAAACTGTTCCAGCAGCTTTTATTCAGGTGAACCAGCCCTAGTTATCAGAAATAAAAGGAGGCTTTAGAACAGTCAAGAAACCCGATGAGAGAGAGAGAGAGAAAGAATAGCAGTTATCCTGAAGGAGCGTCTCCACCCCCATCGTTTTGCCCGGACGCTGAGGTCCAGCGCCGAGGGCCTTCTGGCGGTTCCCTCATTGCGAGAAGCAAAGCTACAGGGAACCAGGCAGAGGGCCTTCTCGGTAGTGGCACCCGCCCTGTGGAACGCCCTCCCACCAGATGTCAAAGCGATAAACAACTACCTGACATTCAGAAGACATCTTAAGGCAGCCCTGTTCAGGGAAGTTTTTAACATGTGATATTTTCGTGTATTTTTGGTTTCTATGGAAGCCGCCCAGAGTGGCTGGGGAGGCCCAGCCAGATGGGTGGGGTATAAATAATAAATTATTATTATTATTATTATTATTATTATTATTATTATCAAAAATGAAGCAGTCGTAGAGCCTAACTTAACCAGATCCACACAGATAACAACAACAACAACAACGATAATAATATTTATACTTTGCCCATCAGGCAAGGTTGCCCCAGACACAAAGTCAATAATGTGCTGATCTTTGTTGAAGGAAAGGCATTGCAATTAATTTAGAAAGAGAAGTAGCTAGATATTTCTCAGTCAGCCGTGAAATATTATTATTAAAAAAATGTTGCTCTTATCGTGCTTTCCTGAATCACTCGAATGATGAGTGGGTAAGGGAAGCATGCAAGAGAGAACAAGAGGTCAATTCAGGAGGCAATAATTCTTTAATCTGTTTTCCCTTTGCATCACGAAGCAGCTCTTTCTTTCTTAGATGTAGCCCCAAAATGTAGCTTTAGATTTAATCAACAGGGTGAAAATAGCTACAGGTAGAACACGGCACTCTGGGTAATTCCATTCATCTTGTACTTGCTTTTCACGACACAATCCTAGCACAGGAGTGCTAGTTATTGATAGCCCACGGCAGTGACAGGATTATCTAAGAAAATACTCAATTCATAACTGTGATAAAGCAAGCAATCCTCCTTTGGATAACAGGGCACAACTTAACACAGACCTCACAATCCTCTTGTGTCTACAGTGCAATAAATAAAACAGAAACAGCCGGCACTTCACTGTAACTAAATGTCTGAACAAGAGCAATTGTTTTAAGACTGTGTTCCAGAGAACTCTGAAGTTCCACGGAACTTCAATGCCTTTTTTTAAATAAGAAGGAGGGAAACAAAAGCAGGCCTCCATTGCAAATATTTTAAAAGTTAGTCCCTTGTTGCAAGTTAGTTGTGGGTGTGAAAAAACTGGGGTGTATTAATTTAATATCTGTTTGGTAGAAGGTCATTTTGTTTTTCAAGAGATGTCAGGCAAGAATCCTAAATTGTACCCGATACTATTATGTAAAAGAACTGAGTAATACCCCTGGAGTTACGAGGGTTTAGCTCTTTAATCAGGCAGCACAATTCTTTAGATCGTGTTTTGGCAGGAGGAAAAGAATTCTTGTGGCAGCATGTCCCTAAAGTAGCAGCATTCCAAAGCTTAAGTATAATCTCCCACTTGATCAATTTTGGCCGTAGAGTGGACTGAACCCTACCACACTTTCGTAAGATCATTATACAAGAAATGTTTACCATAAAGGGTATTTTTCCTCCTCATTTTTTTGTTGCTGTTAACAATTTTTTTAAGAGGAAGAGGTGAGATCATGAGTGGTCAGTCACCTCAAGGAGCAGATACTGAGGGGCAGCAAGCAGACAGAGCTGTGTGTGTCACAAGACTGGCACCCCCTAAGCTACCCTGCTGCACTCAGATTCAACTGTTAGTCTGGTTGGCTTTTGTAAATGTAATGGAGGGAGACACCATCTTGTCCTTTGCCTCAGGCAGCAAGGTGTCTTGGACTGGCCCTGGTGGCCATACTTGGCCAACGTTCGCTATAATGCAACACACACATTTTCAATTTAAGTAATCCTATATATCATCTTTTTTCAGGGTCAAAGGAGCTGTCAGAGAAGTTCACAGTTAAAACAATAAAAAGCAACTATCTAAATCAAAAGATATAATACATTTAAACCACCCAATATAACATAGATCAGGGGTGGCCAACTCCCAAGGGACTGCAATCTACTCACAGAGTAAAAAACTGGCAGTGATCTACCCCCTTTTGGGGGGTTCAGGTCAAAGTTGTTGAGTTTTAGGAAGTCACATTCTTTGGAGGTGCAGGGCTAAAATGTTCAGCTTTTTTTAGGGGAGCCAAACCTGTTGAGCTTCTTTAAGGGGAACCAGTGATCTACCAGTGATCTGCCCAGACATCCGGTGATCTACCGGCAGATCACGACCTACCAGTTGGACGTGGCTGACATAGATAAAATCAGCAAGAGTTAAAACACTGTAGACCAACAGCCGAATTCAGTTAAAAGCAGTTTGAAATTTATGGTCTGTCTGAACAGAACCAGAGAGGGAGTCACATGTATATTCCATGAAAGGGACCTGTCTCTTGGGCTTATCAACCACATGGAACTTACTGGCAGGCTAGATCCTGCTTCATCAGACACATTATAAATGGGCTTTGGCCCATGAAAGCTTATGGCACAATACACATGTTAGTCTTTAAGATACTACAACACGCTGGCCTACTTCCATTAAAAAGAACCTTTCAGGAGGATTGCAATCTGTTAATCTCTAGAATAAAATCTACTTACAAATTCATTTTGTAAGCACAGTCAACCTTGAACAGATTTTCAGGTAAACACAGATCATAAAACCTTCCTTTAGTAGAGATACTGGAACAGAATCCTGCCTGCCTGCAAGCTGCACACTTTCTTACAGTACCTTTATGAAAATACCTTAATAGGTATTCAATTTCCTGCCCCAAAGGCATTCACTTTATTTAGGAAGTTCAATAAGCTCATTTGCATAGCTAGCAACACAGCCTCATTGAAGAGCAAAGATAAAATTAGTGTAATGGGACAAGATGACATACTTCAAAGAAAACTGCTACTGCACTGAGCACGAAAAAGCTCCTATTCCTAAATCAGCTACATGTACAAGACAAAAAATAAAAATGAAATGAAATATGTCAACTCAAGCAGCACTAACCTCAGCAGATTCATCACTTCATGCTTCATTCACCTCTAACCAATCATTCAACCCTTTCTAATAACTCTCTTCTTAAGAAAAACATACATAGTAATTCAAACAATTAACACCACCAGCATACTTGAAAAATGGCCACTGTAAAGATCCCCTCCAAACTTCTGTAGCCAAACAGGTAAACTTCATCCCATTTTGCAAAACCATGCAATAAATATGCAGGTAGCAGCTCAAAATCATGGAACAGCAATTCATCTATTAAAATGTGAAATGCTTTCCATAAAATTTTTTTAAAAGTGCAAAGGGTGACACACTCTGAGCATTCGTGTGTGTAAATATCTCTCTATAAAATTTGAGAATAGCCCCTTAAAGATACAATATTTTCCAGCACTGAAGGTTCAGTGAGCAACCCCACAAAGCTAGATAAGATGCTTCTGCAATATTACTCAAGGTCCTAATTATTTGCTACCGAAATCTCCTCATTTGCCCCAAATAAGAAGAGCCTGCTGTTCTCATAGTGGTCATCCAGTGGCCGGTTGAGTTCACTTTGTAACTGAGCAATCTGATTGGCAGAGATGTACTGTTGTCATCCTTCTACCCAGTGCTATTTTTCTAGAAAAAAGAGGTTCTGGAACTCACCATGAACACCTCCCTTGCTCTCTAAGAATGGCAATGGCGCCCACCTGAGAGGTGCCAGAACTGAGTTATGGTGAGTTCCAGCTGAAAAAAAGCCCTACTTCTACCCTTCCTCCTCAGACTTGCTCTGCATGGTTTACTTCAGGATAGAGGTCTCTGGTACTATTTCATGCCAAATGTGGTAGTAACAGGCGCTTTCTGAGGCTTCTTCAGGGCAAAAGCCTATATGCAGGTGCAACACCTGTATTAAGATAGCTAGTATAAGGGTTGGAGCTGTGTAGGAAACAGACAGAATAAAGCAAATAATATAGCATATTTTTTTTACTGGTGACATGCGAAGATAATCACTGTCTTAAGTTGTAAATAGACACACACAAAAAAGTTCAGTGTGGCTTGATAGATCCAGATTTGAATGATGAGCAGTTAGATTTGTCAGTATTGAACTTAGCCATCAATGAATGAAGACTACCTTTCCAACCAGGTATCAATCCCAGCCCCCTCCTCCACACTCAAATAACCAGTGAAAAATGCTAGCGACTTACCTTGCATGTAGGTCTCTATTTGCCTAATAAGCTCATAAGACTTCGATCTGTCCAGCAGGGTCCTGATAGCAGGAAGGGGGTCCAAAATTATGGTTTCAGGGTGAGCATCAATATACTCCTATGGGAATGAAGAAATATGGCACAAAATGTTACATATGAAGGTAAATGATTTGCTGGAATCTAGATGCATGATGGGAATAAGAGTGCCACAACAGAGGACACTAAAAGTTCAGCTTACCAGACACTGACAATTCCTGAATTTCATATTTCACACGAATTTATCTTGCTGTTCTGAAAACAGCAATTGTTTAGGTAAGAGAAGCTATGACTGCCGGCCACAAACCAAAATTGGAGGGGCGAGGTCTATAGCATCTCTTGCTTTGTGTATTTAAAAATATACATTAAGTGTAAAAAATATTTTTCCTTGAAACGTTGGCCGAACTGTCCCATGTACTGAACACCAACAGATCAGAGTGATCAGAAATACAAACACGCAAACCACATACGGCCATTATCAAGGGGCATTCAAGGCACCGTAATGACCCATTGCCTTGTAGGGTCTGGCTGAGGAGTCAAATGAGGGTGGGGTGCAGCCTACATACTTGGGAGAAGAACCGCCAGTATTTTATGAAGGGCACTCCTGGCCAGAGGATACAGTGAAACAGACTCCTCCAGGAGGTGATGGACTCTCCTTCATTGGAGGTTTTAAAGCAGAGGTTGGGTGGTCATTTGTCATGGATGTTTTGGATTTCTCAATTCCATTGAGAAAAATGGAGAAACACGCCTTGGAAGCCGTTCAACTTCTGAGGCACGTTCGAAAACGGAAGCATTCACTTCTGGGTTTTCGGCATTTGGGTTCTGAATCGTTCGGCTTCCAAGATGCTCGAAAACTGAAGTTCCACTGTACTGCAAAGTGCTTGAGCAGCCTATCAACGGATAAATCAATCAATAAATTAATCAATAAATTTGCAGAGAAGAAGCAGCAGCAGCAGCCTATCAATGGCTAATAGATTTCACAGAAGTGTCTGGCTGGTCACTGTGGGAAGCAAGAATGTGGACTAGATGGGATTTTGGTTTGACCCAGCATAGCTCCTCTTAAGTCAACGTCATCTGTATAGCTGAATAGAATTGCTATGGCACTTAAGAGATTACTGTTGGCATGGGTTTAGAAGGCTCATCCAAATTGTGAGGGACCACACCACATCTGCTAAAATCAGTCTGATGTCTGAGCTTAAAGGCATACAGCGAGTCCTGCTAAGTCCACACTTCAGCGATGGATGCCTGTGGGCCTCTGGATGTTGCTGCACTCAAACCCCCATAAGCTGTAGCTAAAACAACCAATGACAAGGGAGGGTGAGAGTTAGTACAGCCACATCTTCTCCATCCCTGTTCTACCTGAAGCTTTATAGGATACAGGAAGTGCGGCTAATCTTAGGCTCAACAGGGTTTCCAGTATATTACATCCTATGATAATGATTAATCCAGAACCACAGTGTTCAGCAAAGTCACAACCCACACTAAGAAAGAAAAAAGGAAATACACTTATTTTCCTGTGTATACTAGGGAAACAAAAATAAAGTCTACGAAGATGCTTAAAAACACTTGATTCCACTGCGCAGACAACTAAGTATCCCAATCATCTCTCACTGATTAAGTGTCAGACTAATGATCTCGAAATTAAGCCAGTCCTGTCCGATGATCCTAAAACTTCAACTTTCTCACTTGTTCTGCCTGCCTTAACCAACATTTTCACCACTTCATCTGCCTGTTTTATCAAACATACCAATCATATTACATGCACCTCCGTATAAAACTTATGAAAGGGCTGTGTTCTTGGGTTAAGATCAGCCTGACCCAGATGCTGTAGGTGTGTCCCTCTGCCTTTATCTTCTACACACAAGCCAAACCAAAAGAAACACAGACCTAGATTGCCCTTTGTTCGGATTTCAAGACCATTGTTTAGTAAGACATATGAGCGAGCCTATCGGCATGCCAAAAAACAACAAAGAATTTTTCATTGCCATTCTAAGAGAAAGAGGGAGGTGCTCATGGTGAGTTCCGGCACCTCTTTTTCTAGAAACAATACCCATAAAGGCTTTCCCACATGGTCTCCTCCTCCTCCTGCAATCCAGCTTGAAAGAAGCATTCTATTGTAGTGTACCAAATAGGATGCTATGTGAACTTAGTTGTGGTGTGTCCATGTGTGGCTTGTGGGTGTGTGGTACCCACAACAGTTTTCCCAGTTTGCAAGCAACCCCTCATAAGATATTCTATTTGTCTTTTGTTTAAACTCCTTTAAAAAACACATATTATTGGTATTGATTGGTCATTTAATCAAAGTGTGTTGTTGTTTTTTAAAGAACTTTTCAAGAATTATTATTTGTGACTCACTGGCCCTGGGCACAAAACCAGCTATCCGTGTGAATCTTGTCTAAATTATTTTTGCATTTAATTCTTTTGCTGAGATATCAAAGAGCCACAAAACAACCCATGGTAACTAGACTTTACAGAAGCACAGCCTGAGACGTAATGATGGCGTCTTGCGATTTTCCGAAAGGTTGCTTAGTCTTAATTTAAGTCCTAGCTTTCCTTTACTAGCCATAAAGGGCCGATAAAAAACTCTCCATCTCCAGAGTAACCCCCTAATTGCCTAAGTGGAGGAGTTCTAACAAGAGCAAGTACTCCAACAGGAACTGAAGTCTGGAAAACAGACTTAATTCATCAAATCCCTAGATGGGGCTCATACCACAGAAACGCAAGGAGAGAAGAAAACCAACTGCTCCTGGCAAAAGCTGTAGGTGAGAGTCAAACAAAAGGACGACACTCTCAGCATCACCCCTCCTTCCAAATCCCAAAATAGTAGGCTTAAAATGTTCAGTTGTAAACAAACCAACTTCTAGATGTACACTAAAGCTAATGAAACTACCTTTTCAACAGGATGAAAGATAATTTCAAGAAACCAGCGAGGCACACACTAGCTTTTAGCCTTTGATTCCTTACGGACAATGACCTATAACAGAGGTAATTCCAAAGAATATTGTACAATTCCAGTTTCAGCTATTAAAAAAATACAGCAAAGGACCTGTTGTGCTACTAGGAACAAGCTTTCTTTAACCTTCTTTTTACATATGGGGAGAAAGGAGCTAGATATACAGCCGTCTCGGGATTCTGGCAATTTTGCTATAAATGAGGAGCTGTGTGACCATGTCACTGAGAGAAATATGTAACTTTTCTTTTTTTAAATTAAAAAAGCAGCAAGGAAATGCCCCTTTGAGCAACAGCAAAATAAAATGGCTATATTAAGGCATTACTTATTTTTAGCTTGACCTTGAATTCCTCCAACTCTATATTTCTCCTTCACTTAGGCCTACAGAGTAAAGGCTGGTTCAGAATACGCACCACCTTATGCAGCTAGCTAAATGCTACATCTCTTGGGAGAGTGGCTCAAGTTATTTTCGCATGGGGAATGAAGATTATATAGAGCAATGGTAATCCTACTGCGAATGGAAGTTCACTTATGGGCTGGCTAGCACAAACAGAGGGCATTTCTGCTCATTTTAGAGCAAAGGGTACAGCACTCCGCAAACCTGAGACATCTCATTTGGTGAAAAATGTTAAAATAAGTGCCCGTTTCTGACCTGTAGTGAAATAAAAATATAGGCATGGATTTAACGACGAACTCCACTCATGGGATGCTGCTGCCGGAAGAAAGGGCGATGGTGAATATTTATTCCAGTCCCTCCTTTCTCTTGAACATCCTTTGAAAAGCTGCTTCAGAGAACTGGGATGCTCTCTGGAAAGATGTAGGAAATAGTCCAAGGAGGAAGGGGGAATGGCAAAAGTACCCCCTCCCTTCCCACAGTGGAAGTCTCTGCTGGGTCTCGGTCCCTTCCACAAACAGAGGGAGCCCTTCTGTGAGTGGCAAGGACTCTGGATTGTCTCTTGAAAACAGCATAAAATGGACTTGATTCTATGGTGCCACTGTTCCCAAGCTTTTTACTTAGGGAGCCTTACCAGCATCATTTTTCTCTCTCTCTCTTTCTCTCTCTTTCAGAAACCAGTTGCTGTTCCTGTGTCTATTTCCTCATTCCTGCCCTGCACTGTTTTCATTAACCATGCACTGCTTTCTGGTGCCAAGGCCAAAGGCTAATGGGAGTGTCTGTTTAGAGAATCAGTTACCGGAGGGTGGCATACTCCAAATTCATGTCCTGTCAACTTTCGATTTAGTTATACTTTAAAGGGGTGAATGATTGTACGTTGAAGGGGGGAAAAGGAAATCGATCACACTTGGCCTAGCATAGGCACTTCCTTGATTGCTCACACAAGGTTGAAAGGGAATCTAAGTCATACACTAAATCAACTGAAATCAGTGGGCATGGCTAGCCTGAGCTTACCGATTTTAAAGTGTTTATTCTGAGTATGACTTAGTTGCACACCACTGTTTTTTAAAAAATGTATTCAGGGAACCCTTTCCGTGACCACTTTTCTGCCAAGGACCCCCTTGCATGTTGGAGAAAATTATGGGGAACACACTCAATTGGGGGGGGGCAGAGGTGCTAAGCCATGGGTAGGCAAACTAAGGCCCGGGGGCCGGATCTGGCCCAATCACCTTCTCAATCCAGCCTGCGGACGGTCTGGGAATCAGCATGTTTTTACATGAGTAGAATGTGTGCTTTTATTTAAAATGCATCTCTGGGTTATTTGGGGGGCATAGGAATTCGTTTCTCCCCCCCCAAAAAAAGATATAGTCCAGCCCCCCACAAGGTCTGAGGGACAGTGGACTGGCCCCCTGATGAAAAGGTTTGCTGACTCCTGTGCTAAGCAATCCAAATGGGCCTCACCATTTTCTCTGACCTGCAACGGCTGTTATTGCCTTGAGAGGTGGGGGTGGTCATAAAGATTTAAATACAGTGGTACCTCCAGTTACGAACTTAATTCGTTCCAGAAGGTCCATTCTTAACCCGAAACCGTTCTTAACCTGAGGCGCGCTTTCGCTAATGGTGCCCCCCGCTGCCACCGCACGACTTCCACTCACATCCCGGAGAAAAGTTTGCTACCAGGAGCACCTACTTCCGGGTTAGCGGAGCTCATAATCCGAAGCGTTCGTAAGGAGGACGG